AGTTCAGTTCTTTTATTGCTTACACCATCTAGACAGAATCTTGCCAGACTAACTCTGCACTCCACTAACCCAATGGATATACCCTGGGAGATCCTAGGGAGTGGCTACCCTAAGTCTCTCCCTCTTCCCAGGCCCTGCTCTGGACTGTGCTGCTTCCTGTCTCCCTCCTTCCCTCCTGGAGTGTGCTCCCTCCTTCCTGAGAACCTGTCTCTCCACTGCAATCCACCACATCCTCCCCCCCCCTCGCAGATACAGTGCATCACACCGTCTAACAGAAACACCCTGCAACTCCATCCTTTCTTCATCCTTCTTGGGATATCTGATTTTATGCTCCAATCTCTAACATACATTATTTTACTGGAAAATAAAAGCTGCTGGAGCGGGCTATAGCGCTGTGCTTTCATACACAGGTTGTGGGTTTGTGATGTTTGTGATCTGAATGGGAGACTGATCACAGTGCAATGTGAAGGGAGCACCCGAGTGGGATAGGAAGGGGAAGAAAAACCAGTAAGAAATAAGTAAAAGAGGAGATAAGAGTAGTGGCAGTGAGATTTCGGTCAATATTGATGTCTTCCCAAAATAAACCTAAAAGAAATTATTCCATTTCTTATCAGATCAACCCATTTTTCCATAAAAAAAAATTAAGTCTTGTATACTAGAGTCAAGGAGAAATTGAGAAACCAGAAAAAAAGAGAAGTTCATCTAAAATCCATTCATTCTAGAGGTTGAGTACAAATTTATTTAAGGGGGAAGAATAACTAGAATGAGCTAGGTAAAAGAGGAGGTAAGAATGAAGAGTATATCATTTTGGTAGTGGCAATGAGATTTTGGTTAATATTGATGTCTTCTCAAAATAAACTTAAAAGACATTATTCCCTTTCTTATCATATCAACCCATTTTTAATCACAGAAAGAATTAACCCAAATAGTTTAATTAAGTCTTATATATTAGACAATTATGAAGTCAAGGAGAAATTGAGAAACCAGAAAAAAGAAAAGTTCATGGTGGCGAACATTCATAAAACAAATTAAAGACAAATTGGTATCATAATACAAAAATTAAAATGCACACAGCAGTCTTTTGAAATTCCTTAATAAACATATGGACAGAGAAGCTGGATAGAGGATTTCTCCTATTTTTTCCATGGGAAGGAGAAATTCTCCAACGTTTTTTTTTTCTTTGCAGTGACAGTAATGTTGCTACCAAAAAAAAAAAAACAACTCTTGGAGGCTGCAGTTTGTTAGTGAGCTAACTATGTAATGAAGAACAAGACATTCATATATGTTCCTTGGCCACCTCACCAATATGTGCTGGAATGTCACACTCCACTGGTAAGAATTTCTCAACTTCTTCCAAAGAGAAAGCCTCTTTTGTCAAACTGAATGAGTCCGGGCTTTAAACATTGCAAGGATATTTCTCTACCGACACTCACTCCTTCCTTTCTTATTCTAAAGCTGCCCACTTACTTTTTTCACAGCTTCACGGACTCTTCGTCCAGCCATTGTCCTGGAAGACACACACGCACAGAAACACACACAAAAGGAGTATCAGTTTCCATATCCTTCTATAGAGCTGATGACAGATTCTCAAAGGAGGTTGTTAGATTATTCATTTTAAGAAAGATGGAAGGATAATCATTAGTACATGTATGTGCATGAATGATATTATATTATAAATACAGAATATAAATTCATACGTAAACTCTCCTGGAAGAGCCACGATGGCTGCAGATCCAATGGTAACCATCTGAACATCAATTATATCTGGATGCCACGGGTAAGGCTTGGTAAGCTTAAGTAATTCAAGAAAGAAGGGGGAATCTTAGGTCAGCCTTTATATTAAATAATGTCATCAAGAATAAAACCACATTCTCTCTCTGATGTCACTCAAGGGACTTGTGATGGATCAGAACTGGGGAGGGCAATGTGAGCACAGGGAACTCTCAAACCAACCCCTATGATTGATGCCATGCTGTTCCCCAGCAGAAAATGTCAGAAACACGATGCACAAATCCTTTGATAGGTTCAGCTTGTTCGTGTCAGCACCCACCATCCAAAGCTAAATATGGAACTCTCTGAAGGTCTATGAACAAAGAGAAGTTCCACCTTGCTAGGACTCATCCCACCCCTAACCGTCTCTATGCACCTGCTCAGGATTTCCATCACTTCTCTGGCACAGTCTGGGATGGGGATATACACGTGGATATCATCAGTGTATTGGTGACCATCCACCTTGAACCGACAGATGAACTTTCCTTCTCCCAGCTGACAGACCAGCAGATACAGCTAAATGAATTGCTAAATTTGTGTCAGATGCCTCACATCAAACTCTTAAAATTTGTGGTTAAAGTTCAGCAATTTTTGCTAACCCCAATACTTTTCTATACAGTATATACTCTTGTCTATAACTCTGGGTTATCTACACTGCATTTCTCTTCCCTTCCCTTGCTTTTCCCCCCAACATGTCCATTTTGGACTTTGACAGTAAAATCAAACAAAGTTTAAAAGAGCCCAAGGACAAGGCATCCAACAATTTCCCACCAGTACTACAAGATGAGGCTGAGGGACAAAGTGGAGACTGGCATCAGATTTCCACTCTCCTTCCCCTGCAATGTTCTGCCTTGTGCCTCCCAGCATACTCTCTCTGGCCATCACTACTTCAAACTTTTCCCTACTCTCCGGCCTGCATCACATCCCAATGTTGCGACCTGCTATCCCTGCGATCTAGCCCACAGCAATGCCTGTTCAATGAGCCATAGGACCTGCCCTGGATTCCGTAGCTCCGTTCCCACCCCGGGTCCCCTAATGCCCACGATCCACTGAAGTGGATGTTGTTCATTGCTGCTAAGTGCAATGAACACAATCTCTGATGCAATAACTAGTTTAACCAATGAGTTTGCTTCTCCCAGTGGGACCTAGTGGCTCATACCTCTCCTGTAGGAAGTAGAATAGGCTTAGGTTTCTGGCATTCTACCGATTCATCCGACGGCTGAACAAGCAATGCATCACGGACAGCGTCCCAGAATGGGTGGCCTTCAACAGTGCCTGTCAAAAAAAGGTACGTGATGACAGACTGTTTCCCACCCTTTTAAAATATATTATTGTACTAATATGAAATGTTTAAGAATATCTCACTGTAGTTATAGCAAATTCCATTTTTTCAAGAAGAGCCAGTTTGGTGTAGAAGTCAAACATGGGGGACAAGAACCTGGGAGACTGGGAGTTGTGTTCCTGCCATAGGAGGTGTTTGGGCCAGGCCCTCTCTCTCAACCCCAGGAAGAATGGCAAACCACTTCTGAAAATGTTGGTAAGAAAACTGCAGGAGTTGCCAGGAGACAAGACTAACTTAAAGGCACACATTCTGGTTCCTTTTACTTTTTTTAAAGGCAGTATAATTAATAGAATCTATCATTGTCAAAGGGCATTTGACAGATTTCTAGATTCAGCACCATTGCCTTTAAACAAAGAAGCAAGAGACTCATCTAAACATGTTTACAACCGGAAAACATTTGTTCTGATTGCTGGTGAGGACTGAGCGGTAAAGTTAAGGATGCCTGTTACTTACAGCCATCTATTATTTTATAAGGTGCAGATGTGAGAGAGGTTGTGGGAGCCTGGGAGAGGAATGAAAGAGGGAGTACACCTACAACCAAGAGATAGTGGACACGATATTTGGGGGTTTATCTCATAAAAGGCAACTTAGTCCAGCTGGCAAGAAATCCAGGAAGAAGTGCTACAGATCATTCAAAATGGCTTAATGAACTCCTTATGAATAGGACTGGAAACTCCTCTTACAATTTCCAAGATTCTGTATTTATGCACAGATTACCATTAAATATGCCTGATTGTAATCTGTGGAGGTTTTGCTGTCTTGATGTCCTTGAGCTCAATGCGGCTTGGCCTAATGATTAATTCATGAAATACTTAAGTAAATAATTATCTAAAATTCAGTGAAGAAATACACTGTAAGAGGTAATAACTTTCAATAATGGGGATATGAGTTGTCTTCATTAATTTTGCTGATATGCCAAAACATGGGCTACTGTGCCATTTTATAAGAACAAGCCATCTTTAATATTAGCTGTATTCAGGGCTAATATATTTCATTTCATTTCATTTCATTTTGTTTGATGATATTCCTACATTGCGCCCTTTTCACAGAGGTGATATAAAGTTTTGAAAGACACCCCGTTGAGCAATGCTTTACTGCCTGCTGAAACCAGGGAAAGAAGGCAGCCAGCCTTGTTCTACCAAATTGGGTGATGCTACTGAAAAGGCCTTGTCTTACTACCCATCACCCCAACCTTCATAGTTGTTGGAGACACAACTGAGCTTCTCCTGGAGAGCCACATTTGGCTGGAGAGTCAGCCCCATAGGAGTGATATCCAACTGTTAATAGTATTTCTACATTTTACAACAGAAGTTCTAAACAATGTTCCTGTGTTATCAGATGGATTGCTTTCACACTAATCAGTGTCTCACCTACCACACCATAACTGTTCCTCACGCTACTACAGATAAAGTTGGAAAGACACAGTTGGGTGGGCAGAGCTGGATGGATCTCTCTCCTTTGCTTATCTTTTGAC